AGTCAAGATGCTGTAAAGATTTCCCTTGTATGTTCCAAGAAGCGAAATTGACAAACCCGGCACTGTAGTTCGAGTACCTTCTGGATCCATGCACAGATGATTGCTCGTGGGTACTTCAGGATTCGTGGATTGCCTTCTCCACTTCAGGTTCAGGCTTTTGGGTGGCCGCTGCCAGCGCTGAAACGTTGAAGTAGAACACGGCTTTCTCTCCATACTCGTCTTGCAAGGTCCTGCAGACTTGTCTCGCATCGGCGGTGGCGTATAGATTGGAAGCAGCACTTGCTGCCACCCGCGTGTGACCGCACCATATGAGCTGCCTTTGCCAATCGATGTCTTCGACGGGTACGTTGGCGCCCTTGATGGTCTCAACGATCTCCTTCGCGCGTCTGGTGCCTCGGTTCTTCTTACGTGTGCCGGCAGACTTGTTCGGTGAGTACCAGGATTCGCCAGTGCCTGTTTGGATCTGAGCCCCATGTTTCTCCTGGAGGTCGAAGAATCTCTGTCTGGCCTGGTCCGGGGGAATGGTCTTCAGTATGACGTGGGCCGTGCGTGCACGTTGACCGTAGACGAACGTTCGTTCTACAGCCTGGCGAGACGGCAGATCCCACTTTGATACTGCATCAGCCACTGCGGCCTCGATCACTTTCCTAGTTGTGTCTCGTTGCCAGCCACCCATGACAATGTGGTTGTAGTCCGGGGAATCTTTGTCAGGAGAAACTGGGTTGGGAACAGAATCGTCAGACGGCTGAGCGCGGGAAACCCTAGATTGTCCTGGCGATTGTCCTGACAAATACTGTGCCCAGGGATCTTGGTGTTGTGGAGGCGCTTGCGGTGGTGGCACAGCATGGTACGAAGGAGCACTGCCTGCCTTGACCACGGACTCTAGTCGCCCGTGAAGATCATCCATCCTCTTATGCAGATCAGCGACGTCCTGTCGTCGTTCATGGCTTTCCTTTTCAAGAAGGCCTGACACGGTGTGAACGCTGCCCGCTATGGTTTGGATATCTTCTCTGAGCGAAAGTCTGAACGCCTCGATCCAAGCAGGAGGTTCAGCAGGATCTCGTATCGCCAAGCTTCTCTGATCTGGGTCGTCAAAAGGATTCTTTCTCTTGGGGGAGCCTGGCATGTCATCGTCGGAAGGGTTAGCCACAAGTGCTCCCTGCTCCGCCATAGCAGCGTGAACCCTCCTAATTCCCTGGATCCGAAACCGAACCCTCGAGCCGATACCTTGAGCCAAAATGGCCTTGAGCCGTAGCCATTCCCCCCAAACCCTAAAACCTTAAACCCTAAACTCTTAACCCTAAAACCGTATAAACCCTAAACCAAAACCATCAAGTTCCGGTTTCGGGGCTTCCTGGCGTGGGACTTAGGATGGAGGGTTCGATCATTTGGGTCTCGCTCTAGAATGTAATATGCGGTCATCTCATATTATATGCATCTCTCTCTGTCTGTGACATATATATATATATATATATATATATATATATATATATATATATATATATATATATTTACATATACACACATATATATATATATACACATGTTTATACACATATTATCCTGCTCTTGAAACCTAACCTTCAAGCTTCCGGACCCGAGACTTGGATACGGGATCCTCAGGTCAGTCTTTGTGGTTTCGGATAGAAGCGAGCTTCCACATTCCATTCTGAAAATCAACTTTAAGACGTGCGGAAACAGCGAGATCATATGACAATCGGCCTTGCGGCTGCTTCTTGCTGAAGTCTTAGACCCGGACATTCGGGTAGAGTTTGAGGCTCTAGACTCTAGCACTCGCGGGTTTAGAGTGCTCTGGGCCTTCACTGGGCGCTGCATCAGGGACTCGAGACGAATTTTGCTGATAAAAGATCGCATATTCCATTGCAGCAACATGTAAGTTCTTAACTGCCTTGCTCCCGTGCCTGACTGAGGGCCCACCATCCCAGTTGCGTCCTTCGCATGCCAGGTTTTGCATACAGGATTTGATTGAGTAGGGATTTCCGCAAGGCTTGGCGGTCGATTGTCGCAGGGAGACACAGAGAGAGAGCGAGAGAGAGCCAGAGAAAAAGAAGAGAGGGAGAGAGAGAGAGAGAAAACAAAAAAGGAGAGAGAGAGAGAGAGATAGAGAGAGAGAGTGTGAGAGGGACGAGAGATTGTCAGGGCGTTGAAGCACTGAGAGGCAACGAGCTCAATGCCGATAATCGTCTCAGCCTAAGCATCAAAGATCCCTTCAACCGCCTTACAGAACCCTGGTAGGAACCCTTCATAAACCTCAGCCCTCCGACTTGCCATATACACCGACGACATACCAAACTCCTGCAAAACCTGAAACCCATTGGATGCCACGAACTCAAATCCTAAAACATGCCCAAAACCACCGGTTTATGAGGCTAAACACCCTGATTAAGGCTGTTTGTCCTTTCTTGCGGATGTTCGTCCTGGAGGTCTCTCCCTTGCAGCCGGCCGTTGTGCAAGTAAGCCTCACTGCGCTGAAAGACCTTTAATATACTAGAGATATACTAGAGCCTTATTGAATAGAATAGGGTTCCTTGAAGGGTTCCTGCAAAGGCGTATGTGCGGGGTCTCTTGAAAGGGCATATGTGAGGGGGCTCAGAAACCAGAGGCTTTATAGCTAGCACAGATTCCTGTTAATTAAAGGGTTCCGTGAATGGGCTCTGTAACAGTCTCTACTAAGGGGTCTTTATAGTTTACAATGGCGATTTGGGGGAGCATACCAGGGTTATAATGAGGCGACATGGAGAATAGTATTGCTAGCCTCCCCACCCTCTCCAGTAGTTTGTAAGTATTTCTGCTTTTGTGTCCAGGGTTTTAGGGTTTGGAGTACATAAGGTACGGTATCCAGCTTTAGGGTCTCGAAGTTTTAGGGTTTTCTAGGGCCTTGCCGGGGTGTAGGGTGTTGAGGTTCAGGGTTGAGGATGAGCATTTTGATGAAATGGCCGAACTTGTACCGCCTTTGGTTCCTTTCCTTGCCATATGCGGGGAAGGAGGAACTCCAGGCCTCTTCCACAGGGCTCCGCGTATCCATCTGTGTGAAAACAAAGGCGACATAGCATGTCGGCGACTCCTGGCCAAACCATTGGCTCCAGCTGTGTGGCCTCCAGCTTGTGTGAAGCTATTGGCACATCCAGCGAGACTGGATTCTGGGAGTCCTGCATGCTGCTCGCACTACTCTAGCAGGCAAAATGCCTGTTCCCACCCTGGCTTGAGAGCTGTCCGCGAGAGTAGAGCCAGTCTCTTCTCTGAACTGGCAAACTGCGGCAGAGGCCCTTCGTCTTCTAACTGCATGTAATTCCGCATGGACAACCCTACTCAGTCAAGCAGCAGTCCCAGGGTCGTGCAGGGTTTGGGGTTTAGTGTTTTCTTAGAGGCCAAGGCCAATTCCTTAGCATTCTGGGTGCGAGGGTTGTAGGTACTTTTGCTCACTCTGCACAAAGTGTCCAAAGGGTGCTCAATTCTACTGCACCGGGATTGCGAATTCAAGCTCGGACTGTTTAGGGATTACGCCTTGTAGGTTCAGAAGTCTGGGGTCCAGGAGGTAACTCCGAATTTGAAGGTTCAAATTTCAGGGCTTTGGCATAATAGCTTTCGGGCTGTCGGCTGTTGAAATCTGGGTTTAGGGCTTACGGCTCCGATGCGTGGGGCTTACGCTTCATCGACGTTGGTTGCTGGTGCAGACTTTGTCCATACACAGAGACAGCAGATCCAGACAGAAGCCCCGAAGCCACCAAAGGCACGATATGAGTTCCGGGTTTCACGGCACCCGCAGCTGCATGCATCAAATCATGTCAAATCTCAGCCGCTAAACCCATCAACCCCAGAAGCCAGCACCCAAACCCCCCCAACTACGCTGTACACTCGGCTCGATCCCTGTAGCACGAGCATGTTTGCTTTATGCAGAATTGGATCTGCCTGGAACTTGACCTCCTGCCCGACCTGCAGGCAGGGACCACAAGAATTGAAGGGAAGGCTGTTCGGCCGATGTAAGGAGAATACTGAAACTGCATAGTCTAGTGCCTCTCTTCATTGTCGATGCCGTCAGGCTGTACGAAGCACCTAAGTATATGCTAGACGGCCTTCAAAAAACCAGAACTCTTCCTGACACAACAGAATAATTAAGCTATTTAGAACGACAAATAGACAGTGGAGGTGCCAGGCAGCAAGCAGGCAGAACGTGTTGGGCTCTACATGTTGTCAGTGAGTCAGAACAATCTACACAAACCCCAAACAACGTCGAACCAACATACACACATGACACAAGCACCGCCCCCAACAAGCCCTAAAGCCCCTACGGAGGTTCGAGTACTTTCATCACCTCTGCCCGGCGCTCTCTTCAAGAAAACGAGCCAAAGGACTACAGTTGGGCTTAGGCTTCGCTTTGAAGCTTCAGGGTAGATGTTATGGAAGTCAAAGAAGCATGACCAAAGTGCTCCCGCAAAGAAACACACGTAAACACCTCGCACACACCAGTATGTTCTGTTCTGATATTTTGTAGGGCAATGCAGATTATTCACAAAATCTCCGTGTGTGAAACTCCACAACTACACTGCGATTCCTAAGGAGCTCAACAACATGTCTTTCTATGGCCCAGCATAAGCCCGAGTTTATTTCAATATATCTATATAGATATATACCGAAGGCCGACGCAGCGCAGATCATTACGGAGTTCCGCACCTTGAAGTCTCCCACATGCCGGTTGTGCAAGTAAACCTGAGCTTTTGGATGTCTGGTGCTCAGAAGGCTCAAGCATGGTTGAGCTTACGGTGCCCCTCGTGCTGCGAGCGCTCTCGAACACAAACCACGTAAAGCAGACCATCTTTGGAACACGCACTCGCAGAACCTCACTACTGCACTTCCCACCACGGAAGAAAACCCCTTTCAATTACACAACACCTTCAATACTGTGAGGAACACGAAGGTCCAGGAGATGAGGTTTAGGATCCGGAGAGAGGTAGTGTGTCACTGAGAGCTTGGCATCTCCGTCATGCTGATTTCGGAGGGCATCGCACACGATGAACCTTAGGACATAATTCCCGACAAAAGCTGAACAAGCCCGAGACCCCTGCCGGATAAGCCGTAATCAGCGAAGGTTATCGTAATTTCCTGTGCCTCGGTTGTGTGGTCAGCACTAGGTATACGACCTTGATGATTATCAAACTTATGGGCTCCCCCATATCACCACATATTCCAGTGAAAGCTGAGCTTGGCTAGGACGCCCGCTTCTCCTCCTCCCCCTTCGGTAACAGACCGGCGTATGGTGACTCCTTTGCTTCAACCAGCTTCCACGACCTGGTTGCCTGATGGCATATAGTCGGGCTCCAGTTGCCCACAAATGGGTCACTCGGGTACATGCGATGGTTAGTAACCTGCGATTTGATGAACTGGAGCCCCAGGGATAGATTGAATCCAAAAACAGCGTTGAACATGGCGCCAATATCTAGAACACGTTCCGTTGCACCCTGTAGAACTACCATGTACAACATCTCCAAACACAGCCCCGCCTCTCTCTCTCTCTCTCTGTCTCTCTCTCTCTCTCTCTCTCTCTCTCTCGCCAAGGCATGTGGTAAGAACGCGCTTCCCTAAACCCGCAAGCCCTAAAACCTATACTCTGTTCATGTCATGTGGGCCCCGAATTCGTTTCGTCGCTGCCCTGTTTTAGGTTTACAGAATGGATCCAGCAGACCTGCTGCTCAGACTGTCTAACCCGTCGATTCCCATAGACTAGCATAGATTTTAGAATTTAGCGCACAGGGTAGTTATAGAAGCCCGTGCCCCCCACTACTGGATCCATGTACTGGGGTCGTTGTATAGAGTTCCACAGTAAGCTACTTATTATATAAGCACTTGGTCGCTTTTCCATTGTTCAGTGTCTAGGCAGAATGGGGTTGTCCTATGCACGACTAGGTGTTCAAGTCGTTGGAAGGTCCTCGAGCAGAGATGCCCAAGTACCCGCATTCCCGATACAACCACCCTCTGTCTCAGCTGGGTCCGAGTTTGGGCTTGTACGAAAAATCTTTTCTGCAAAGGGTAATTTTCTGTTTGATACATAACACTTATATATATATATATATATATATATATACATATACATATACATATACACATCCAGCTGGAAGACGACTGTGGACTCAGATCGTCGTGGCAGTTTATCTCGTCATTTCCTGGTTCGATCTTGTGAGTCAGAGCCGACGCCTTATTTGAAGCCTCACTTACTCGGAAGCCCCCCTACACGCGAAGAAGACCCAGCTCTACAAGCCATCCTTCAACCAGATTGATATATACGATATATGCATATGTGCATGCTTCGAGGGACCCCTAGTATTTCACGGAGTTATGAGCTCTGGCAACAACTAGTCTGTTCGACTGTTATAAGTAGCTTTGTTTTAAGCGGGTCGCCACATCGCAAACACTAGCACACATGCAGGGTCAGTCAAATTACTACTTCTTCCTTGAAGTTGGACCAAAGCATTGCCGACACTGATGGACGAAACCGCATCCCGGCCGCTGCTACCCGCCGGCGGGGACCCGCCAGCGGGTACCCGCCAGCGGGGACTGCCAGCGGGTACCCGCCAGCGGGTATCCGCCGGCGGGTGCCCGCCAACGAAACCCGCCAGTGGGTGCCCGCCGGCGGGTACCCGCCAACGAAGCCCGCAATGCTTTCAACAAAAGTAGGTCACATAGAAACATAATAAGCAAATATCTTAACTAGTACTAACTACGTGCTGTAAACATATAGTTACGTTGAATGTTTAATGACTAAAATATTACTACTATTACTATTATTATTATTATGGCAGCTGCTATACGGCGAATCCATTCTGTCCGGCGGGGACCCGCCAGCGGGTGCCCGCCGGCGGGTACCCGCCGGCGGGTACCCGCCGCCGGTGGTGGGAACGCGGCAGCGAGACGGTCAATCCTCTTGACAGAATTACGGTACACAAAACAGGATACAATGAACTCAACTAGTATAGACGTGCTGTAGATACAAAGCACGTAGAATAAGCAATAAGCGAATTATGGCATGCGCTCCATCGAGGGCCATGGCCCTTTGGCAGTAGACATCAGTCAATCATTGGAGTGTAGCTCACGCAGTGCTCGTGCGTGCCCACGCCTCACCACATCTTCAAAGATTGCCATCGTTTATGCCAATGCTTCGTTTCATATGCTCACGGACAAGCAGGCTATGAATTTCATGGGGCTCGGGGGCCTGTCCATCCCCAGGGAGTGTAGCAACAGCATGACAGACCTGCTCGGAAACGGGATGCATGTGGACTGCATTGGTCTGGCTGTCGGTCTGGCGGTGCCTCTTGTGTCCGGGCAACCGATTCCCAACGAAAGGAAGGTCTACGTCCGTCTTGTTCTTGAAATTTCAACCGACCACGGATCACGGTCACTCTGGATGCACCCGACCAGGTGATCAAGAGGAAGGCAACCGTCAAAGGAAAGGCCACACGCAAGAGGAATGTTACCAGAAGAAACCGAAAAAAAAGGAAGCCCGGGCAAGTCGCCCAAGAAGCCCCGCGCATCCCTGCCCATCAAGCGCTATCAGCAACTGTGGGAAGCTCGTGAGAACGCATGCACAGCTGATGTTATTGTTATGACACATTGTGCCCATCTTCGTTTTGGAGCTGCAGAAAGGGTTTCGACAAGGCTTGATCGCTGTCACGGTTCGGCTTCCAATACAGAACAGGATATCGATATCCTCGGGTGTATTGCGTAAGCGCAGGCAATGACATAATACAGGTCTCTTCTTGTCCAAGAGTACAGGTGTAATAACAGTCGGCGTCCATCTTTCCAATACAGAACAGGATATCGATATCCTGTTCTGTATTCTACTGGTCCACGGGTCTTCCGAATATACATGCCCCATCCAATGAAGCAAAACAGGATATCGATATCCTGTTTTGCTTCTCAGCCCGAGATTCTTTGCCTTTCCCAAATACCTCTGCGCGACTCTGCTTTGTACTTGAACAGGGCATCTTATAGGGTGTCATATGAGTCCTACAAAGTATATATATATATATATACAGTATACAAGAAGTATCACATGTAGGCGGTCTTCTATAAGGTATTGTACAGGGTGCTCCAGATGATGTGCTATAAGGTATTTAAGGTTGCGCCCCGGCGAGCCCCTCCCCCCTTTCCCCCCTTCATGGTATCGCCCCATGTACTATCATGTACTATGATATCTGCACTCCCCCGCTTGTGGAACCGGATATCCCTCCCTAGAAGGCGTTCTACAGGTGTTCTATAGGCTATACAGTATTCAACAAGGTACATATGTGGAATTTAGGATAGGGGTATCCCATACGATGTTACCGAGGGTAATTTATTCTTTACGAAATGCTATAAGGTTCGTAGAAGGTGTAATCTGTAAGGTCTTGTGTAGGCTATTCTCCGAGATTCTTGATTTCCTTGATAGAAATCCCTTACCCTGTAAGCTACAATCAAAATGGGTGAATATTCTCAAATCTTGGGCTTCTCTTGAGTTTGCTTATGTAAATCCTTATCTAAGGGGTGTTATATGGTTGGCATTCTGTAAGGTATTCCGGATGGTCTTGAATGAAGTTATATGGTATATAGGGGTGCTATACAAAGTATTCGGCAGCGTATCCTATTGGGCACTGTATAGGGTATTTCGCAAGGTGTTGCATAAGGTACCCTATAGGGTATGTAGAGGAAAGTATTCTAAGATGTAATCAAAAGGCCATAGGGTGTCCAATAAGGTATATATGAGGTATATGGGGGGGTGATTTATAGGGTATTACCTCGGGTACTCTATATGAATTGCTTTACTGTTTAAGGAGGGGTAGCTATTCTACAGGTTGTTCCCCTAGATTCCTGATTTCCTTCATAGAAGATCCTTACTCAGTAAACTACATTTCGGTTGGTGACTTCTCAGATCTTGGGCTCTTCTTGAATTTCTGTATATAAACCTCGTCTAAAGGGTAGTCTATAGGTCTGCGCGATGAAGGGTTTGGGCCACCCGATTCAGTTGAATCGACCCATTCGACTGAATCCAGGCCGCCACCCGATTCAGTTGAATCGACCCATTCGACTGAATCCAGGCCGGATTGAAGACTGAAGATTCTTGGAAGAAGTTGCTCAGGGACCTTCAATCTTCAATCTGAGCAGCGATTCAATTGAATCGGCCGATTCAACTGAATCGGCCCCCATATCAAACACCGCGAGTGAAAATGACTTGCATCGCATACCACAAGGGCATAATTGCATTAACACGGTTTACATATGGCTCCTAGCACTGCTCGTATAGATAGGGCTTGTCGGGCACAAGGGCTTATCGGGCACCTCTCCACCCCGGTACCAGCCTGAACCACTAAGTGTAGGCCTATAGTACTCGCAAATCAAAAAAGAAGGTAAGTACCGGAGGGGGGATACCATATGTATGTATATAGACATAAAATATAGAGATAGAGATAGAGAGAGAGGGAGAGAGAGATATATAGATTAGGCTTTATAAGGTTTCGGGTATAGCACGCCGGAAGACAAGCACTAAATCAAAAATCCCCGAAACACGAACCCAGTCAGTGCGTCGCCCGAAGCCCTTCTCTGCGTTATAGCTCCTTGGCGGCCGGCGCATCTCAAGCTTGAGCTGGGGCTGGGGGTGCCAGTTAGCATTTCAGGTTTAGAGCTTGCATGGGGTTCAGGATGTGGGGATGCCTGGTCAGCTATGACGTGACCGGGGAAGCGTCAGAGCCCGTTCCAGGTCGTAGTGTCCTCGTCAAAACAAGTAAACAAGCAGGTACAAGCACACAAACACGCAGCACACACACACATATTATATATATATATATACATATATATATATATATATATGTATGTATATGTCAATGTTAATTAATCTTTGCATGTCTGTATAGGCAATGTGTCTCTAGGGTTCCTACACAAGAAACCTCAAACCTTTGAACTCCTATTCGCTGCAACCCCAATGGAACACTTCGAGAAACAGAACGAACAAGTGACAAATCTTCGCCGATTGGAGGTACCTACATATGCATGTAAGTATACAACTACATGTATATACACAATGATTTACACCAAGAACCTGCATATATGCATCGATACATCCATCCATCCAGCCATCCATCCATGAATGCATGCGTACAGGCTTACATACAACCAGTACACATGCATATCTTCAAAAAAACAAAAACATACCTACCGACATACATACATACATACATGCTTGCATGCATACATACATACATTCCAGGAGAATATCGGGTGATAGCACCAGAGCTCAGAACACCACAACACCAATGTACTTTTGCCGCCAATGCCGAAAGCCAGCTGCAGACCATATGTGTGTGTGTATGTATATATATATACATAGATAGATGTCATACTACTTCAACGTATATTCAACGAGCAGTCAGGCACACGTTTTCTTCTGCGAAGCGTGCTCACACGTCTATGTAGCTACGGCGTCGAGCCTACCCGGACGTCGAGATGCAGAAGGTGCAGCTGAGCCAACCGACATGCACGTAACAAGGGTTCCGAAATCTCTGTGCTCTGCTGTTGGCCCGCTGTCCTCCACATCCTGTCAGGAAAGTCAACGGTCACTGAACTATACAAGGGCGACTGTGGCGCTCATGGATGGATATGAAGGTGCGGCACATCTCGATGGTGATTGCCAGGGATTTTTCTGGCCGGCCGCTTGCACGAAGGGGAGCTGCTCAATCCTCATCTTCATTGAAATCGGCGAGGGTGTTGAAGATCTTCGCCCCGACCGCACTCCAAGCATGAGGGTTTATCGGCGGGTTCTGCATGACATCGAAGTCATCATCGCTGTCGTAGTCGGCGAGGCGCTCAAAGATCTTCCGACCCACGATGCTCCAAGACTGAACATCGATCTCCTCCTTCTCGGCATCACTGCTGGAGTCCACGGTGCTGGTGTCATCTGCATCATCTTTGAAGTCACCGTACACACCAGGGCTCATCTCACACACACGCGTTGGGGGTTTCACGGTGCACGGGGCGTCCATCGCCACCGCAAGCACCGATGATCCTGGAATAGGGTTGGACATGGAGAGATATTGCTCTCGGCTGCAAAAGCAGGTGGAAGCTTTCTTGTGCTATCAGCTTCAGCTTGATCCAAAATACGGCAGGGCTTTACAGTTTGGGGCTTGGGCTTCAGGGTGAAATTAGACCTGAACGGAGCAGAGCTTCAGGCTCCATGGATACTGGGATGAGAAAAAGGAACTGTTAGTTCGACGAAGCCCAGTGCCTGCACTGGAATCTAAATCAACCCATGGTGAGCATTCAAGTAACTAAGGCTCAGTGGGGAAAACCGAAAGTAGAATGTAGAGTTCTACGTGCTCCGAGTAACGCCGAAGGTTATTCTGACATTGATCCTACTTCGAATCTACTTGCCATTAAGCTCCCTGAGTTTCTTTAAGTGTGGACGCTCTTCAGGAGGCTGGCTCGCTGCTGTGAACTACAAGAGCGGCTCTAATAACTGGAATAATAATAAGGTTTTGGGTAGATTATACCAAGGAACCCCCCAAAGTACTACTGGTGATACTTTCAGTCCCTTGTAGTAGAAGCCAGAAAGTTGGAACATCATTATACTCATAAGGGATCCTAGCATTAATCCTCCTAAAACCATGTTCCAACTTTCTGGCTTCTACTATACCCTAAGCCCTAAACCCTAAAACATTATTCGCCTCGGTTTTTGTAATTTGGTTCGCCTGCCTGGGGAGCGCGACTCGTCCTGACCCTCTCGGCACTTTTCAAAACACGCCGGGGACAATGCAGGAACCTGATTGAGAAACCTCGGGCCTTTTTTAGGGTTCCTGATATTTTTCACATAAATCCTGCTATTTTGGTGTTATAGGCCCAGGGTTTCTTAACCAGGTTCCTAAATCACACCCCTTCAGTGCACAAACCAAAAGCCCAACACCAGCCGAAGGCCATGTAGCCAGGGTGCTTGACGATGCCATAGAACTCGCCGAGTATTTCTTGATCTTGGCCAAGCGTTGGGATACCCTCTTGACCCTGAAAGCACATTGAATACAAGAGTCTGCAGACTGCGCATGGCTAGATGCTAGCCAGACAATGAGCCTTAGCCCTTCGCAAACGGTCTGGTTGTTCGGCTGTAAGATCTGGGACTTTGCTGTGACAGGACTCTCAGGTGGCAAACCCTAAAATCCTAAACTGTACCTGGAACTACAACAATGTACCTGTTTGTAAGGTCCCTTCTGAACTCCATGGTAAGGTTTACAGCAAAAACTTACAACACGGCAAATCAATGGTAGTTCAAGGTACTTCTAGTCTTGCGCAAGCAGGAGAAAGAAGCATGCCTACATGGAGGATCATGGGACTTAGTGACTTAGTAACTAGGGTTACTATTAAGGTAACTATACTTATAACTTATAACTACTTATAACCCCAGTTAAGGTACTTATAACCATACTTACTAAGTCCCATGATCCGCCAAGTAGCAGGTAGCCCTGTCAGATCGATTGAGCTGGAGTCAGAAGGATTGGGATCCCAGTATATAATCCCTTCTGAGGACCCAACGCTGCTGAAGGCTGTTTAATAAAAGAGCTGCAGGACAGGGCTTCAACTTTTTAGAGCCTTAGGATGTTAGGGCCGAGGGTTGCATTTTGGGGTCTCAGCGTTGGACAATCGCTTCAGGATGGTTCAGGGTTTACCGCTTGAGAGTGTTGGCCCGCTACCCTACACTCCCCCACAGATAACCCTGCATTAACTGCGCAATTCGAGTTGCATTCAGGCTGGCTTGTTGCCCTTACTTTCGCCCCGGCTGACCCTTGCCCAACAGACTCCCGCGCCCATCTCCTTCATTTCCCACGCATCACTGGCAGCTCTTCACTCTACGGGCAAACCCCCCAGGGCCTTTGGGTTTCGGGTTGATTGATTATCCGCCATGTGTCACAGCAACAACGATAGCAACAGAGGCAGCCTCAAATCTCACCCCTAGAATTGCAATAAGCCCCATTACGTATCTATCTATATATATATATATAACGTACATATACACATATAACATACTAACAAACAGTATATATATATATACATATATATATATATATATATAGTATGTATGTATGTGTATACATATATACACACATACACATACATATCCAAAATCGCCCCCCAAACTGCGGAAGCCAGCTGCTCTGGGGCCCCAAGCTCGCCGCCGCATTGTTGGACGGCTTTCCGCCCAGCGGCAGAAGCCCTGGGCGCGCTGCTTTCTTGCGGAACGGCGGCTTTTTAGGCTTTAGGGCTTTGGGCTTTAGGGTTCAGTACTTTGGGGGGTTTGGTTCTATTATAGGGCTTTGGGTTTAGGGTTTAGGAACTGCAAAAACAAATGTCTAAGCTCGACAAGGGGAGAAAATGCTTAACTTCCAGAGATGTTGACTGGTGAAAGCCACAAGTTTTAGGGCTAGGCATTGGAGATCGACACACATCCGTAGTGAACCCACCCGAAATAAACTCAAAGAGCCCCTAACAGCAAACCTGAACCGAACCGCGCACTTTTCTGCGCCGGAGCCTGTCCGCTGATCGATCCAAGTCTACTGTGCTGACGTCCGACATCCCTTGATCTCCGACAAGTCATGGCAGAAATCCTGTCGGTCTAAACCCGTTCTCATGGGGGTTTATTGGCCAGACTTGTAGTAACACATGTAGGCAGCGCAGCGCATGAACCATACAAGAACATCGGGGCAGATAATAAATGAGTGGAGATATATGGCATGCGCGTATATATATATATATATATATATATATATATATATATATATATATATATATATATATATATATATATATATATATATATGCATATGTATACATACATACATACATACATACATATATATATATATATATATATACATATATGTATATATATATATATATGAATATGGTTATAGGTGGACGTAGAACAAGCCTTTGCTCATCGTGTGATGGTTGTACCATACAATGCTATACAAAGGAACCCTCTAATATTATTGCGAGTAGACCCTGGTATTAGGTGTCAAGGTTCGTTCAGGGTATGGGGCTCAGGGTTTGAAGCTTATAGGGTTTAGCCGACAAGACCTGCTCGTTTAAGGTTCTCGTTTATGGTTTCTACATATGTAAAACAAATGTATATACATATATGCCTATGTACATACATATATATACAACTTGCATAGATACATAATCCTTAAAAAGGTAGGTTGTCGGGCCACAGGTAGGGCTTGGTTCAGGACTCTGTCATCTGGGGGATAGCGCAACAGTGTGTTGCAGCGACAGGACTCTGTCATGAGCACGGCGGCGCTGGCTTTCCTGAAACTCCAAAACCCCAGGTTGAAACCCCTGTTGAGCAGCGACTGCAACGCACCAAGCCCTGAATCCCTTCAGCCAAACACTCCGGAAATCCTAGACCTGAAGCCCGAAACTCTAAGATCTCCTAAATCCGTAAACCCGCCCCCTTCGGACTCCAGTGGTCAGAACTACCTACCTTGCTGTGCGTGGTGTAAGCGTCTACGTCTGGGGGTTTACAGCCTCTGGCTCCACAGCTTTTGGAGTTTCGCGGCATTGCCCTGTACAGCCAAGAATGGTTCAAGCCTCTTTCGGGGGATTCGTGCCGACGCCAACTGGAGACACCCGAATGAAAAACGAAAACAATTGGCCTCTTCGACGTTACAATACCCTCTAGTGCAATCTGGCAACCCCCCGTGAAATCACCAGCTTCGCGTTGTAAACCTCGCGATCTCAGCCAACCTAACAATGAAGCGTTGTACCGGAAGTCACAGTAAGAAGCCCAGTATAGTATAGAGATGTGTATAGAGTATCCCTGGCGATCCACGGGATCCAATTTAGGTTAGCTAATAGTTTCGGATAGAAAATGTGTAGGATACCAGCTTTGGGAATGAAATACTTGGACCCTTGGGGTGGGCTATTCCTGAATTTATTGAAGGGCAAGCTGGGCTCTCGAAAGCAACGGCACCCTGTCTTACAGGTTTTGCTCTCTGATTATGAGGCTCCTTGCGGAGAACGACTGTGCGCGTATTATGGGTCCCTTTTCTCCGTTGACTCCCTTACTTCTGTGCCTTGGACCCTAAATCCTGCATCATGAAGCTGGGCTACCGGCAACCGCAATCGCTACTAGCCGGCAGAATCCGCCGAAAGGTCCTACGTCCTACGCAGTGGTTAAGCACGTGGATTGATGCACAAGTGCGACAACATCTCAGGCATGCTGCGCAAGCCTTAGCCGTATAACCTACATACGGGCTACTAGATTTTTCAGCCTGGGATGCCCCAAGCGCGAAAGTGCTAACCCGATGCCCTGAACGTTTCGAAAATGTATTGCTCAGCCCCAGAAACGATCGCTGAAAGTACTCTGACACCCAGTCGCCTGGTGCACAAAGCGAATCTGCAAATGCAGACCTCCCAAAAAAAGACAAGTGCCAAGTTACTTCTACCGGGACTCATCCCCAAACACAGTGATGGAGTCTGATAGAGCACCACCACGACCAGCACGACAATGTCTTAGAAACTGTAGGGAGTCGCGTTTCCGGAGGATGCTGCCCGAGCCGGACTGTGTAAATAGTTGGACGTGAGCGCATACTATAATGTCGGTTTTGAAGGCTAGACTGCAGGTGCGCCAACATATAGGTAAGCATGGTTTCACATCTACAGAGAAGTAATTTCAAAAGCGAAAGAACAGGCACCAAATGCTTGCCTTGACCTGCGTACTACGAGGATCGGTGCTGGGAGGCGCACATGTGTCCATATCTGCCACTGCAGCTTGCTCAATCTGATACTGTTTGCATCCCGGGGTGAGTGATGTTTGGGCAGAGGCAGAGCTTGCATGCCAAACAGCGAGAGTGACTGCATCGCACTTCGGCAGATATTTATCTGCCTTGCACAGGGCGTCAAGCCCAATTATAAGCTAGCACCAGATTCTGGATCTAGCACAACGGCATATTATCAAGCTTCCTCAGCACTCTGCAACTCCTGCAGTAGAAACCAAAGTCTCGGGGCTTTCAATCACACTGAATCATTCGAGGCAGACTATCAAGCATGCACTTTTCGCGAGTTGAGGCCACCTCAGGTGAAATGCTGCACCTTCGACCTTCGAACCCAACTCCCTTCTCAAGCAGCCAGGCCAGCCACTAATGAAGCCAAACTTCAACCCCAAACACCCGCTCCAGAACTGAAAGGTCACGAATCGTTCGGAGTGCTTGGGTAATCAAATCATGCAGAACTACAACTCCTAATCTGATTGCGCTAAGCGATGAACCTGGCCTAACAACAACTCCTCCTGCGCTTGTTCTTCCTCCTTATCCCACTTCTGATACTACAACTACTACTACTACTACTACTACTACTACTACTACTACTACCACCACCACCACTACTACTCACCACTACTACTCCTGCTACTACTACACCTGCTACTACTACTCCTGCTACTACTACTCGTACTACTACTACTACTACTACTACTACTACTACTACTACTACTACTACTACCACCAACCACCCCCCCTCTCCCAATGAAGCCGGTTGCAGCTGTAAACTGTAAACCCGGACCTTTGATTGTAACTGGCTTCTTGAATCTTGAACCTACATAATGCCCGCAGCCCACTGTTCGCCCCATACCATAGGTCAACCCCGCAGGGAACTTCGCAACTACGTTGAACGTCCTGTCTGCGCAATGGGTACTGCAGGTTGACCTTTGGCGCAAGGACTATCAGAAAACTGCAATGGTTACGTGTGCCAGCCCAAAAGTGTTGAACGCTACTTGACTACCCGACTGCAAAGTTGTAGTTGCGGGGTTGGGGCCACTGAGATGATGTTACACCCTAAACCCTAACCCCATAAGAATTTGAGAGGCCAGTGGCAAGCTGGAAAGCGTTGGTTTATGGCCTTTTGTTCCAATCAATCTCAAAACCAGTCGTGAGTTTGGACCCCGGCCCAAGCAAAAAATGCTGTATATTAGTGCGGCCTGAACAACTAAGAAAGTCTAATTTTCTGCACCCGGGTCTCTTCGCGATCATTCCAGCATCCACTGCACCAGCGTGCCCAACCTTCAGTTCTCGTATGGGATTCGCAAAAATGACTGCAATGCTGTCAAAACCTGCAGGGTACAATGCACGAGCCTGTGAGAAGCAAATGAGGCCGTCGAATCGATTTCTGCTACTGCTTCCTTCCGAATGCCCGAACTCGCAGTCAAACGTTCGAACCTTGCCTGCAAACCTGAACTCAACGGCCCGAAGCGGAGTTCCAACTATTACGATGCAACAGGCAGACCCTGCATTTGTTTTGAGGATTTAGGCTTCAGTTTACTAAAGCTGCGCACAACTCAATCCTCGATCTTTATCTAAACTTAAACAAAACTCACGATTGATCGTTGCATTCAGGATGTCACGGCGATATAGGAACTGCCGAAATAGACACTCCCAAAAACACAACAGGATCCTGGATTGCAAAGACCCTCGCCCAAAGGCTTCACAACTACAGCGGACCCCCAAAGGTGCTTCTTTAATACAGAGGTTAAGAGATGCTAAGACAATACTTTCAGGTTCCCAGTACAAATACTTTTTGCTACACCCTAAACCCTTTTTCAATTATTGAAGCCTCTTTAGACACCGTCGAACCCATGGATGCCATGGATCACCAAAAGGCTCGGGTTTGGGCCAGTTTTTGTGGGGAGCTTTAGGTATATACCTGCTAACTGCCAGCCAAGCCACATGGCGAGCAGCAAAACGGATGGTGCGCCAATCCTTCAAGTGGAGTTAGGATCGAATCTTTCACACTCATCAAGGGGCTTCGATTCGGATTTACCCTGAGCACCAACATCCTAAGCCACAAAATCCCAAACCCTCACCCCAACCCTCAACACTCCACCTCGGCTACTAGAAACCCTGAACCGCTGATTGCTTGCGATTTAGGCTAGCGGCTAGGTGCCTTTCCGGTCCTAGGTGCCAAAGCTCCGTGCGGAGACTTTCTACCCCGGATCTCCGGTATTTTGCGTAGCTCCAAAGGCCCTAAGAAAGGGGCCTTGATAGTTAGAATGGGATTCCTTTGAGGCGTTAAGCCGTTAAGCGCCCTGCCAAGTGGTTCTATAAATCTTGCTCCGGGGCGATTTCTTGTTCAAGCTTCTATAATTATTACACCTTTCACTCAAAGCTGCATGAATCCCATAGCCCGACACGGCTCCCAAAATACACAGCAGACGAGGAG